GTAATCTTTATGATATGCTTATTTCACATTGCATTCCTGTATAAAAAGTCTCATGTACTCCATAAATATATATACCTACTATGTACCCACAAAAATTTTTAAAAAACAATATAAGAACTGATGTAAATGATTAATGAAAATATCATTCAAAACACTGTAGCTAAAAACTGTGATTTAAAGGGTCAAGCTTCAATTATCTGGGTAATAAAAACATTGGTCATCTTTAACTTATTCTATAAATATCTTCTGTGTGTGTGTGTGTGTGTGTATATAGAAATATTTTGAGGAATTGGCACACGTGATTGTGAGGCTTGGAAAACTCAATATCTGCAGGCCAGACTAACAGAGATCGATCTTATTTTTTTAATCCAACTTGCAACTCTGTGTACTTTAAGTGGAGCATTTAGACAATTTACATTCAAAGATAATATTTATATGTGTGATTTGGATGAATCCTAAAAGATGAGTGGAAACTTTCTACACAAAGAGATTTAGTGGGGTTAGGAGGGTATTACAGGAGAAGGAAACAACATAAGTAAAAGCATGATGGCATGAAATAGCTTGGTCTGATAGAAACTGTAATAAAGCAAACAAAATGAACATGACTAAATTTATTGTTGTAAGCTGTATTACACAACCGTGGGAGAATCCAGAGAGCCCTATTCTAATCTAAAAACTTGGCTCATTTGTCACTCTACTAGGGTTTGCTTTTATGCCTATAAACTAAGTATTCAAGTTTTCTGCATGAAGGTCTTACTTGTGTTTAATTTCTGCATACTTTTTAATGAAATTGTAATTTTTAAAATTTGTTTTCTATTTATTGCTATGTGGATATTTAATTTTTAATTATCAGTCTTGTGAAATTCTTATTAATGATAATAATAAATGTGTAAATTGAAATAAAAATCTATATGAAAATCATATGTGCTGTCATAATTTTAAATATTCAATTCCAATATCATTCATTCATTCATTCATTCACTAATTCACGGTTTACTGTGCTACCCAGGACCAAAAGTGAGTGGCAAGAGCACACAACCTGGCCTTATTCCTAAAATCTAACATTATTATAGGCCAGGGAAGGTGGCTCATGTCTGTAATCCCAGCACTTTTGGAGGCCAAGGCTGGAGGATCACTTGAGCCCAGGAGTTCAAGACCAGCCTGGGAAATATAGTGAGATCCCATCTCTACAAAAAATATAAAAATTATACATATATAAATATTATATAACAATAATATTACATAAAGATACATATGTTATATGAAAAGATATACTTACACACCATACACTTATATATACAGACACATGTGTGTGCGTGTGTGTGTGTGTGTGTGTGTATATAGAAATATTTTGAGGAATTGGCACACGTGATTGTGAGGCTTGGAAAACTCAATATCTGCAGGCCAGACTAACAGAGATCGATCTTATTTTTTTAATCCAACTTGCAACTCTGTGTACTTTAAGTGGAGCATTTAGACAATTTACATTCAAAGATAATATTTATATGTGTGATTTGGATGAATCCTAAAAGATGAGTGGAAACTTTCTACACAAAGAGATTTAGTGGGGTTAGGAGGGTATTACAGGAGAAGGAAACAACATAAGTAAAAGCATGATGGCATGAAATAGCTTGGTCTGATAGAAACTGTAATAAAGCAAACAAAATGAACATGACTAAATTTATTGTTGTAAGCTGTATTACACAACCGTGGGAGAATCCAGAGAGCCCCATTCACATTCTAATTACCTGTTATTTTCTAGAAAATCCAGACAACTTAATCCTCTGCTTTTCTAAACCTTAGGAAGTGATAGCTGGGTAAGAGAAGGTGGCATTAGAGACAGGTGTGCTCCAAGGAAGTGAAAAATAAGTAACTACTTCTGTAGGTTTGGGGACTGAGAAAGAAGCAGCTAAGATCTTGCTATTGTTCGAATGTTTTTGTGTCCTCCAAAATCCACGTTGGAATTTAACTTCCCATGCAACAGTAGTAAGAGATGGGTCCTTTAGAAGGTGATTGGGCATTTAGGGCTCCAACTTCATGGAAAGTCTTATTAAAAGCGTGGAATGGAACTAACTAGGCCTCTTTTTGCTCCTCCACCTTCTGCCGGGTGAGGACAGAGTATTCTAGGTGCCACCTTAGAGTAGAGATTTGTCCTTTACCAGACACGAAACTTGTCAGCATCTTGATTTTGGACTTCCCAGTCTCCAGTAATGTGAGAAACAAATTTCTACTGTGAATAAATTATCCAGTCTGTAATATTTTGTTATAGCAGCCCAAATGGATTAAGACACAAATCTCTTCAGTTTTTGATTTGTTAGTGGGTGAACAGCACTGCTGTAAATGGAACGCCGCATTGGGAAAAAGTCCTGCTTTTGAGGTCTCTGTAAGGTAACCAGGCAGAGATACTCAACAGGCATTTGAGCATCTGAAGCTCAGCGAAAGGTCTGAGAAAGTTATATAGAGTTGGGAAATTAATGACTGATAATAATCATTGGGACAATGACAGTGAAGAAATTTGCCTCAGATTCTACAATTATCCAACTGACACGTGGTGTCAGCTGGGCTCAGAATCTTACAGAATACTTCTATCAGGCAGTTGAGAAAAGTCGTGAGAACAATCAGATGACCTCTCTGCATTGGCTCCTCTTCCTCTGATACTGTGCCACATTTGTACATGCCTCTTCAATGTTGGTGGCCTGAAATAAATAGACATTTTAGGTCCAGAATAGAATTGAACTTTCACCTATCTTATTTTAGCATCTATAATTCTTCTAATACAGCTTGTGTCTATGGGTGTCAGCCATATTCACTGTTGACTCATTTTGAATTTACAGTCAAACTAAAACTCCTGAGTTATGTTCTTATTAACTGTTATAAAGCTAAGTTTTTGTAACTTATGCTATTTCAGTACGTTTTTGACCTTAAATGTAAGCCTTGTCTGCATTAAATTTTTACCTTTTGTTTCCTGTTTATCTAAATTATAAAAAAATGATTTTATGTTTTATTCCTTCAATATAAAAAGTAATCTTTATGATATGCTTATTTCACATTGCATTCCTGTATAAAAAGTCTCATGTACTCCATAAATATATATACCTACTATGTACCCACAAAAGTTTTTAAAAAACAATATAAGAACTGATGTAAATGATTAATGAAAATATCATTCAAAACATTGTAGCTAAAAACTATGATTTAAAGGGTCAAGCTTCAATTATCTGGGTAATAAAAACATTGGTCATCTTTAACTTATTCTATAAATATCTTCTAAATGTCTGCTTTTTGCCAGGCACTATACTGGGGGCTGGGTATTTAGCAATATAAATGTTCTAATATCTTTCCCCATGGGGTATGTTCTCAAGTGGGAAGACAAACTGTAAGCATATAAACATAAACATATAATTAGTATCATTTAAGTTCCATGAAGGGAAATTACAGGTTCCCATGAGAAAAAATATCAGGGGGTCTACTTTAGATAGGTAAGTCAGGGTAGGCTTCCTTCGAAATGCAGAAGTGACATTAAGCTAAACCTGGAAGTGTGAGTTGGTCTTAGCTAAGTGGAGGTGCAGTGGATGGGAGAAGACAACAAGAGAGTTTGGAACAAGTGCAATAACCTGAGGCAGGAGAGTGCTTGTGCCTGAAGACCCAAAAGAAGAATAAAGTGATTGGATGTCGGCAAGGGGGTAACCCCAGACATGACTGGTAAGAAAGGGAGAAGCAGGACTTCATAGCCTGGTACATCATGGTAAAGATTTTCTTTTTCTTTCTTTTTTAATTTTTTTGGTTCTGAAAAATACGATGGCATGCTATTGTAGGGTTTTCGGAAAAAAATACATTTTTGTTTGAGAAAGATGACTCTAGGAGATCAATTAGAAAATTATTGCCATGATTCAGGTGAGTGATGCTGATGGCTTTCAATAGAATGATGGCACTACAGGTAGGAAGATCTGTGGTGGACTTTGAAAGGGTGTGTTGTGGAAGGTATAAATAATGAAGGCCAGGTTTTTGGTCTGTTAATCTGGGTAAATGGAGGTAACATTTACTGGGGTAAGAAAAACAAATGTAGCCACAGATTTAAAAGCCAGGTCAAGGTTTCTAGTATGGGCATGCTTAGTTTGAAAGTCAGATAGTTATATTAACAATTTTGAATTTAAGAAATTACACTTAGGGCTAGAAATACAAATTTTAGAGGTTTTGACATAGAGAAGAACTTTAAAGTCAGTGGATAAGGTTGTGCACGAAAGGATCTAGATCAAGGACTGACTTGAGACAGACTGTAGGAACTAGATCAAGGACTGACTTGAGACAGACTGGAAATTGTATAGAGAACTCAGTTGGCCAAAGCAATTGAGAAGAAAGAAATTGAAAGAGAGAAAGAACATCTGGAGTATGGTTTAACTGAATACAAAAGAAATGAGTTTCAAGAAGAATGTGATTAAATACTACAAAAAAGTCATCATGAATACAGCTGCATTATGTGCTTCTGTTATAGGTAGGAGATTCTTCTGGGTAGATAAGACTCTATTACTTTTGCCACCCTAGACCTTGCCTAGTGTTTTCACATAATACATTAATAACACATTTTTGCTAAATCAATTAATGATTAAGTTATCAAAAATATGTTTCTTGTCACAATTTGCAGAATGTTTTTAAATGAACAATGTCATAATCACACAGCGAGGTCATTATTATCACCCTCATTTTCCAAATGAGAAAATAACCTCCTGGAGAAGTTAAGTTTCTTGCCAAAAAGTCAAATATATAGTGTTATGGTATGGCCAGAGTAAGTCGAGTGTTCTATATCAACATCTCTACTCACTGACAATGGTGGATAAATGAGGTCACGTAACTATGTATGTATTGACTTATACTAAGATATATTACATATGTTAAGATACGTATCTTGGAATTTTTATACGGTTATGTGTGTTGATATATCCCCAAACTTGAAATATGATAGCAACAAAAGCTGAATTGGCAGTCAGCTCACAAAGATGGTAGCCACTTTTTCTATAATAGAGTGGGATGTGATCCTAAGTGGTACACCCTAGGTGGTGAGGTAATTGATGGAAAGGAAGCGGCTAAGGGTGTGAACTAACAGCTGCAAAGAGTTGACAGTGAATGGAGTTGTAGTCTAACAGCCACAATGACAAAAGAACTACCCATTGCTCATGCAGATGTTATATAGAACACAGACTTAATATGTCCTTGATGTGGAAGGAACTTCTGTTGCATATCAAGAATTCTAGCCACATTTACACATGGGAAACAAGAGCAGTTGCAGTGACATCTTCAGAGAGTGAGTACAATAACCTAAAGTGAGGGAATTAGTCATTCTTCACCTTCTTTGTTTCACATTGTTGATTTGCTATTAACAACGGTTAACGGACGAAGAGATTGCCAACCCCCAATCCCATAACTTCTAGTTGCCATTATATCTGTAAATCCACATTAACTAGCCCAAATAGTGGATTTGTTTATAGAAAGGCAGGACATCTAAGATTCAAGAAGTTTTGCTTCATTTCAATGAATTTTATCAAAATTTTATACCTACAAACTGCTTCTTCTATAATCTTCATTTTCTTGAGTCCTTCCCAGGTGTTTTGGGACTGAACGAGTTCACAAAGAATTTCTTCTCCTTCAGACACACAATGAGGAAAGAAAAGATCCTCATGAGGACTATATATTATTTCCCAGAATTTTGATGCCTATAAAGTTCCAGCAGAAAATCACAAAATGAAACATAAAAAGTCCCTTTGTGGCTCCTAGAACCTACATTCTTAGAAGACAAACTCTGAAGCTCACTGCATAGGTCATTTCTAAATTCCTGCTTTCAGGGAAAGGATCCTACTGATATTTTCAGATAAGCAGAAATCCTTAAAATAAACGCAGCATGATCTACCCTCTGTGGGCTTCTAATGGCTTCATGGGTGTAGGCCCTGTTTTCTCAGCTATACCTTAAATGCCTTGAACAGTGGGACTGTGTTATGAACCAAACTCAGCCTCTCTTTGAGATATGAAAAGCTCAGGAAATAGCACATAATGGCAAGCTCAGAAAATGTCAGACAGCATTTCCCAACATGTGCTGACTCTTATGAGTGGCCCCTCATAGAAAGGATTTCACTGACAAAATGTTTGGGATATAATCCAACCATAGGCTCTTCTTGACTAATGTGAAATCTCATTCTTGGTTCTAAGAAAATCTCACATTTAAGAAACCAGTTAACTTTTATTCCATACCTTCCAAATTTCTTTGACCACAGGACTTGAGTTTTCTTTTGGTTTCTTTTTGCAATAGGACTGCATTCTACTGAACACAGACTTGGCAAAGTACAATTATTTTCTATCTTGGGATGACTTAGTACAAATCCTGGCTCTGCCATTTTTCTAGGGAATTGCCCTAGCTGCTCACAATTGAGTGAGCCTAAGTCAGTCATTTCAAATTCAGAAGCTCAGGAATATAGTAAGACATGCTTCAACAATTATTGCAAGGATAAATGAGATAACGTAGATGAGATGCCAATCACAATGCTTGGCACACAGTGAGAGCCTACCAACACTAGCTGAATCTGTATCTGAATCTCTGCACTGAAGGAATAAAAATAAAAACAAACAAAAGCCACTTCTCATAATAATGAAGACTCTTGTGGCAGGCTTTGTGAAGCACCAAATAGCACGCACTCCAAGACTGAATATCACTATTTACTAAGTCTGTGTAGCAGGTATCCGTAGTAGAAATGCTTAAGTAAGTCAGTACACATCCTTAAACCCTTTCATACTTATTGTAAAGCTAGGTTAGTAAGGTAGCCTGAAAGGCAGACCTTTGTGTTGAACTTCTTGAGGAAACACATCTTGGAACTGAAGTGCTGGAAAAGCTGTTCAAATGTTTTCCTGGCGGATGCAAATCATTTTCTGAATATTGAATAGAAATATCATGACATTTGATTACAACATTAATGCTGGTCTGGCCACAATGCTGAACATTTATTTTATGCTGTATGCAATAGAAAAGAAAAACATTTTGCTAAGAAAGCTCTTGTGGCCTGATAAGTTCAAGTTTAAAAGGAAGTCTGATTTCCGGCTCTCTTTCACTTTTCACATAACTGAATGCATTAATTTTAAAACAGCAAGGAATTGATTTTCCATTGACTTCTAAACAGAATCTCCTTACACTAGGGAAGTCCAAGTCAATCCTGTATTTGAAAATTAGCATACATTTACCAGACTTCCGACCAGAATGGAAATCCCGAACCAATCTTTCAACTGCACAGCACAACTTTGTCTTTGAAAACAGTGAAGCAGCTTTCTGGGAAAGGGTTATCTTGTCCCAGACTGAAACTGGAACACGTTAGTCACCATTTTACCTTATTAAAATCTAGCAAAACAGTGGGCAAAATAAAATCTCTGACTGGTCCACTTAATTTGAATAGAAATTGTCAGTTAGCATCCTGAGAGCAGTGTGAATCAGGAGGAAGAGAGAGACTGGATTCAGTGGGTGAGAAACACACTCAGTAATGACTTAGACCTTCAGATGTTTCCAATAAAAAGGGGGTGATGTTTTTTTCTAGACAGGTCTGGAGTCTGGAGAAGATGACTCAGATTCACAAACTATTTCTCAGTCCCTTGTTTTGAAGGCCATGAATCTGAAATGTGAGATTCGGTGTCATTGCAATCAACAAAGAGCCATGTTAGATAC